AATATCAAGCATTGTAGCATTAGCACCTTCAACAAGAATTGATTTTGAACCATCCATAATAGCTTGATTTAAATAAGATATTGTATCAATTGTCATTGGACGGAAATAGTCAGCAAGTTTTTTAAATTGTTCAATTGTTTTTTCAACATCACCTTCCAGATCGGGAAATGTTAATTTATAGTAATTAAAAAGATTTCGTAATCTGTTATTAAAATATATATTTATTTATAAGAAGATCTTCCTAGAACTAACTTTTCAGCAAATATTGAAAAATCACCTATTAAATCAATCATTCGAATACCATTTCTTGTTGCCTAAATGTAAAATTTATTTAATTAAAAGATAATAAATATGTTTCAGCTTACTTTCGATGAATATGTTGGTCCAATACCTTTTTTAGTTGTACCAAGACTAGTGAAATATTGTTTTTATTTAATAAGAAAATCTAATAGAGTCATTACTTACCTGCCCGTACCACGTCCTCGTTCAATTAATCCATCAGTCTGTTTATGAAAATCAAAAACTAAAAATAATTATGTTAATTTATTATCTTTTAATCAGAATAATAATTACCTAAATGTGCTCGATCAGAAATAAAGAGACGTTCAGACCAATTTGTAACACCACGAGATTCATTTTTTTGTATTTCTTCAACTAATTCTGGTAGATTGACTACACAACCATTACCAATGATATTAATACAATTTTGTAAATGAAAACCAGATGGAAGCATATGAAAATCATACTCAACTCCTTCAACTACAACGCTGTGACCAGCATTATTGCCTCCCTATAACTATTCTATGCAAAAGAAATTTCTAATAAAAATAAATTCATTTACTTGACAACGACAAACTATATCAGCTTCAGAAGCTAATAAATCGACCAGTTTGCCTTTGCCCTAATAGAAATATTTACACTATATATTTTTTTGATGATTTAACGTACTTCATCACCCCATTGAGCACCGAGAACAATGACTACCGTTGATGGATTTGGAAAAGGATGAACAGCAGCAGCACTGACACGTCGGCCGACAGCTGTAGAAGGTCGTGATTCCATCTGACCTGGTCAATCTATAAAATTGAAATAAATCTTTTTGTTTTTCTTTCTATATGATATATTTTTGTTCATCCATGATGGTACGTCAAAGTTTTTCAAGAAATAGAAAAGAAAAATGACAACTATTTTGAGAAATAAAGCAAGTTGCAAGATACATACACACACGCACACACACACAGAAATAATACTTTACTATAATAAAATGAACAAGAATATTGATAACAATAACAACAACAATAGAATTGTAGACGATCAAAAAAACGGATCGATATGTGTCCTTTCGGTTAATTTTAGTTGATTAGTTAACGGCGACTACCAAAATTTCTGGCATTTCGACCGATACCTCGTCCTCGTATTGATGAATTATTATTATTGTTATTGTTACTACTATATGAAAACGTTGAAGTAGATTGCTTGTTCATTGATTGATTTGGTCCACCACGTCCACGACCTCCGCGACCACGAGCATTGTTTACACCGTTAGATGAATTATGCCATGGTGCTTGAGATGATTGTTCCATTTGATTTTGTTGTCCAAAAGAACCATAATGTGAATCTTTATTATCAAATGATGATCCATTTGATCGTCCAAACGAATTCGATGAACCTTGCGCAAATCCTGAAAACCCAGTTTCATCAAATGAACGAGGTTGTGAAGTGATTGAATTTTGTGTATTATTTTGTAATGGAGGATACATTGATGTATGAGTATTTGTCGTAGTCGGTAAACCGGATGACGATCGATAATCGGCATAAGAACGTACAGATGAACTATTATTTATTCCCATTTGATTCTGTTGTTGATTACCAGAAGATGAAAAATAATTTGAATTTGTATTATTGTTACTATTATTGACACCAAAAGCACCAACTGAATTTTGATTTTGATAATATGTTTGGTTCATTGGTGGTCTTGATGGTGGTTGAGAACGTTGATGATTATTAGTTGGAGGATACATAAGCTCATTGGTTGGACCAGTATTAGTTCGATGATGTGAACGATTAGGTGGACCACCTAGAAGAGATGAAGTTGGTTCTGGATGATATTCATTCATAGGCTAAAGAAAGGAAAGATATAATTTTCTTATAAAAATTACAGGTCAACTAACATTTGAAATACTATGGTTATTATATGGTCGTTCATAATTTGATTGTTGATTACTAAATCCACCATTAAATTGTAATTGTCGTTCATTATTATAATTATTTCCTCCAGACATAAGTTGCGGTGGTCTATTATCATAATATCCATTATTATTATTGGATGGTAGTGATCGTGTTTCAAAATTTGGTCGATCAAAAAATTCTGGTCGTTGTTGTTGTTGCTGTGGATTAGCAGGGTAACGAGATGGCCAACGATCATTGCCATTATTATTATATGGTGCTGATTGATTGTAATTAAATTGATTTGTTTCATAATTTCTCATTGGTCCTGGACCACGATTTGCACCTGGAAATGAATTATTCAACAAATCTGGACGAA